ATGTATGTTTGGCATGTCTGTTACTGTTGAATCCATAAAATCATCGTAATTAAAAATGTTATCATTGAATAAAAATACCCCAGTAGCTTTAAAAGCTGATACCACATTTTTGGGACAGAAAGCAAGTGGATAAGCGTCGTCGCTAAAAATCTCTGCTATTTCGTAAGTTGTTATCCTCTTTAAAGGATTTTTCAATAACCAATTTTGACAACCATGTAAGTAATATTTCTTCAGAAATCCAAATGCAGCTTTATCTAGTGGCTAAAGGCAATGACTAGTATGTGGGGGCAAAGTCAACAAGATTAGATTATTTTCTTTTGCAAATTTAATAGATGCTAAAGAAACATGGCTCTCATGGTTCGCAAGGGGAGATTCCTTTGTAGAATTAGTATGTTTGACAAAATGTATCATCCACTGTTCAAATAATTCTGCTGCCATCCATCCATATGGTGCAAAACACCCCTGGATGCCTGGAGGTACGTTTTTAACCACATAATCTTTAAAAAAATTCCTAGGGGAACACTAAAAACGGCGGAATCTAATTACGCATAGCGTTTATCGTATTGTACATGATTACCAAAGTTACTCTGTCATTTGAAACTATATGGCCTACTTGTTTCTGTCCCTTTTTGGCTCTTACTTTTCCTGTACCTTGCACAGTTGTTAGTGCTGTTTCGTCAACATTGTATACCTAACTAGCTATTAATGCATATTTTTCATAAATCCTCTTAAGATTACCAAAAAAAAATTGCAACGACTGGTCGATTAAACCCCATTGCCCTATCTAGTGAAGTTGCTTCTGCTGATCGTAATGATAAATCTGAATTTAGTTTCATAAAACTTGTAAACCAAAACTTGCCTGTCATCTTGTTTTCTTTTCATGAAATTGGTATTTTTTTCCTGTTGTAATTGCCAAATCATAAGCTAATTGTCTGGCACCTTTCGTTTTGTTGAAGTTTGTTTGTTCGCACCAGTTGATTTTCCTCGGTTGAAGAAAAAATTGGATTGATACCATAATTTATGGTCAATCTTGGAGCTCCCTGAAGAACAATTGAAGTCCAATCTGTATTATTTTTATTTTCGTTGCATTTTTTAAAATATCTCCTAAACGTCGTATTTTAAAGCAGCAGCCTTTTGTGATAATCCACCTTTCCAAACATCATAAATCGCTTTCTCATATTTTCATCTGTATGTATATACAGCATTAACAGGCCTTTTAGACCCATTGCTGAATGGATAATTTCCATCGTTTTCTATTCTTAGCTAATAGCTTCCAATCTCTGATTCCCATCTCTCTAATATCTTCCATCACTACATCCCTCCATTTTTTTCTTAGTGTTCCTCTCTTCTTTTTTGCTCTCAGGTACCTACTCTCCAAGCAATATTCTTGACTAATCTTACCTTGCATTCTTTCTAGATAACCGAGCCATTCTTGCAATATTCTTGACTAATCTATTACCTTGCATTCTTTCTAGATAACCGAGCCATTCTAGTCTACGTTTTTTCACCGCTTTTGTTATTGTAGGGTTAGCATACGAATGGTATTACTACCATTTTCATCTGTAGTTTTTCCAATAGCGGGATTTTTTGGTATTTTCCGTGGCATATTAGAACAAAATTATTTTTGATATTTTTTGCAGACAGAACAATGACCACTGCTTTTTACAAAAATATGTAGGAACAGTGGCCACCACTTTTTTTTTGTCAAAAGCAGTGGCCACTGTTCCTGCATAGGTGTGTAACCATTGTACCAAAAGCTCATTGTTTAGGAGGCATAACCTAAAATCTACTACTTTGAAGATAGATCATAATTTGCTTCACCTGCAAGTTTTGAATATTATACAGTATACATCAAAACATACAGAACATTTAATATGTATATTATTTTTGGTTGAAAAGATGTTTAAACTTACCTGCTACATCTACACAACACACCTCTCAACAGGTTCGTATACAAAATGGTTCTGGAAACGATGGTGCAGGGGTTAAGCGTAGTAAGCGACTACTGTGACTAAAATTGTTAGCGATTATACTAGACGGAGCGTCTGTATCTATCAAACAATAACAAAATATTTAAAAGTGGCCACTGTACCTGACTGGCCACTATTCCAGCCTCTTTCCTAGTTTTCACCCTTAAAAATAAAAAAGCGCTCGTCGGCATAATATAGATTTTGAAGTGGAGGGTAAGTTAAACGTTAAATGCCAAATTTTATGCAAGTCGATCTTTTCCGAAAAATTTGAGAGGTTTTGTCCTATTTTAAGCTTCGGTTCCTGGACTATTAGATTAAATTATAAAATAGATTATCTAGGCACATACGTTAGACAGTACATTTGCGGGGTCTTACAGTATTCCACCTTGTCTCTTTTGAAGCAAAGTCAAAGAATTCAAATTTTGATATTTTCTACAATACGTATACAATGTAAATCAATCAGTACTCTTTTCAGTGTTATAAATGTTAGGAAGAGAATAGAGGCATCTTTTGCTTCCACAATCTATGGAAGTTATTTTCACCTAGTTTGTAACCTAAATAAATTTGATTTTTTTTTTTTTGGCTTTAGGGTAAATACCCACACAGCTAGACACAAATTTATAAAAACAGATACAGGGATTACACAGGGATTGGATTACACAGGATTACACTCTTCTCGCCCAGGGGCCGATCAGGGCATTTTTATAAACGATAAAAGGTAGGCCTCGGACAGATAGGTATGCATACATTAAGGAAAGACATAAGGAATTAACAAAGGTGGTTATATTTGTATATTCGTTGTTGTGACGAAAGACAGCAAACAATCGTAAATTTCTTTTTTATCTAAAGCAAGAAGATGCAGTATATTAAATTGGTTTTCAATGTTTAATTTTAGAAGTTTACTGAAAAGCTCATTAGATTGAGCCCTATATTTTAAACAATCAAAAAAGATGTGGTCAAGATCACCGATTTTATTACAGGCTTCGCAAAGATCACTCTCAAGTATTTTTATTTTAAATAAATGTGCTGGATAACATGCGTGACCAAACTTTATTCTGCTGATAGTAGTTATACTTTTTCGACTGTAATCGTACTCATTGTACCAAGGTTTTCTCCTTAATTTGGTTTCAAGTCTGGTGTAACGTGTTGGATTTGTGAAGCTGTACTCTTGCCATAAATAGGACCATTTCTTCATCATTCTCTGTTTTGCTATGATTATTTGTTCGTCTGTAGTTAATTCGTAATTTATTTGTTCCCCCATCACTATGCTTTCTTTGGCAATTTGATCTGCAATTTCATTGTTTGTTATTCCTGCGTGTGCTTTGACCCAGAAGAATTTTACATATTTATTCTGATCTTGTAATTGTTTAAGTATTGCTTGGATGCTAAAAATAATATCATTAGTTGTGTTTGAGTTTGATTTTAAAATTTTAAGAACGGAAAGTGAATCGGAAAAGATTATAGCATTCTGATCCTCTTCCTGATAAACATATTCTAGTGCTTTTAGAATTGCTATTGCCTCAGCTGTGAAAATAGATGTGTTTTTGTGTAACTTGTATTTTTTCTGTGTACGTTTAGGTATTACGAAGGCGCAACCTGTACCATCGGTATTTTTTGATCCATCAGTGTATATAGTGACGTAATTTGGATGTTCCTCTAAAATTTGATTTATGACTATAGTATTAAATGATGCTAACTCCGAATAAAGTGGTATATTGACATCACAGGAAACAAAGTGATCAAAGTAGTCGGTCTCTAACTTTGTTTGTGGTTTTAAGGCCACGTTTCTTAATCCATCACAAATGGGAGGAGAGTGTTTATGAATCCAAAAAGGCTTAGTTAGGTCGTGTTCGTTTAGTTTATATATGCTGCTAATGAATGGTGAGTTTTTCTTTAGCGACTTAATATTCATTTTTTCAGCTAAAAATGATCTCTCAGTTCTAATGGAGGTTCGATTGCTTCAGCTCTTAACGGTTCAACTGGTGTAGATTTCATTGCTCCCAGACATATTCTGAGTGATTTGTTTTGTATAATATCCAGCTTACGTAGATTTGTTTTATTGGCTGTTCCATAGAGTGTACAACCATAATCAATTATTGATCTTATGTAAGCTTTATAGAAGAGTAGAGCTGTTTGAGGTTCTGCACCTCACCAAGTTCGCATAATGGATTTTAAAAAGTTTAACCCTTTATTGCATTTTGTCTCTATTTGTTCAATATGAAGTTTCCAGGTTAATTTTCTGTCTAATGTGATTCCCAAGTATTTGACATTGGTATCCACCGGAAATTCTATACCATCTATTGTAATTTTCTACATCGGTTTCATGTTATGCCTGGTGAAGATTATAACTTTGGATTTTTCTGCGGAGATTTGAAGCTCTAAATCACTTATGGAGCTTAAAACGAGTTTCGTGCTTAAATTCAAATGATTAATGCATTCGTCGAGATGTTTGCTACGTGTATAAACAACAAAATCATCGGCATAATGTATAATAGTTGCTTTAGGTATAGAGGTGTGTAAATTAGTAGTATATATATTAAAAAGTAATGGTGCAAAGACTGATCCTTGTGGCAGACCTAAATTTGCAGTTTGGTATTTTACTGGGCACCTATAATGTCCTCTGAGCCCTACTTGTCTGTTTATATATAATTTGCATATCGTGTTGGCAACTTCTTGAGGGATTTGTAATTGTATCATTTTTTCCCGTAAGATGAACCAGTTGACATTGTCGTAGGCACCTTTCACATCTAGAAACATCGTTCCATTATACTCGTTTTCAGTTAAGCCTATTTGTATGTCTGTAACTAAGTGTGTCACCGCATCTATGGTGCCAAAACCTTTTTTAAAACCATATTGTGTAGTTGGCAGAGCGCCGGTTGTATTTAACCACCATTCCAATCGGTTTTTAATTATTCTTTCAAAAACCTTGAGTATACAGGGCATAAGTTGTTATAGCATAATCTAAATATATTGTTTAAATCTAATCAAGAGAAAAATACAAAGAAATAATACGTTTATATTTACTTTCAGATATCAAAAAACAACGATCACCTCAAGACTTAACTTCACACACATCAAAACCACCTGAGATGCCTCAAGCTATGAGCATGCTTGCAGAAGATTCAGAGGTACCCTTTCAACCAACGCCCGTTCCAGTGACTGAATCCAACGTAATAGATAAGAATTCTGCCAAAATAAATAGTTCGGCAGTTGCAGAAGAACCAAAGGGAAGAGCTTTAAATTTTACCTTAGGAGGACATGAAAATGATAATGTTTTGATGAATCCTACAAATCACAGCGGTGTTGATCTTAGCGATGTTAGTATTGGAGATGATGATGATGACTTTGACATGGCAATGTTACACCCGAAAATTTTGTCGCCTAAAGCTGAATTAAAAAATGCGTCGTATGGTAAGTATTATTAGTGTATTATTAAAATACACATTGTATTTGTTTTATTTATCGTAGCCGAGTTGGATTGCTTTATAGTGTATTTTTATGTATGAGAGAGTAATAAAACAATAAATTATGTATGCAAATCCCTAAACTGTTGATACGGGTGACTCAATGAAAAACAGATATTTGTCAACAAGTTTACAGAAGTATGTAGGAAAACAATTTTAAATTGAGTATGACCACCAAGTATAAAGGTTGGAGCAGAATAGAATACAATAGTTGTGAGGGTTACTAATCCCTAAATAAGGTTGCCAGTGTCGGAGTGATGGAGGTTAACAGGTACTAATGAATTTGCAAGAAATGTAAGATGTTTATTTTATTGGTTATATATAACCAATAAAAGTTTAATAAGTACCTACCTATTTGCAAAATAAAGTTTAATTCTTTAGATAAAATAAAACGTTTTATTTTATCTGAAATGAGTGCATTCCACGAAGTAAGGGTTTCAACAATCAAACATTTAATTCTTTAATTCCAGGAATCTACGACAGTAATTGACTAGAAAATTACCTTCTAAACTTATTCCACAGAAAATGTGATAGTGGGTTTTTCCATTTTGTAGGAAGGTCCAAGTGGCGTATTCAAAATTCACTAAAAACAGTTCACTAAAAGTAGGTACTTCAGTTGCAAGGTGCAGTTTATTGTGTATACTAGTGTTATGGAAAATTTGGAAGTGCCGTGTAAACGCCGAAAAATTGGTCCTTTAACAGTTAATGAAAAAACATTAATATTTAATTGTTTTAAATCATTTACAGACAAACGTTTATGTGAAAGTGTTGATGAGACCGTTGAGTTAGTTAGCAGTACACTTGGTGTTGGGAAATCTACGATTTACAGAGTTGTTAAAGAAGAGAAATGTGGTAGTTTTCAAATGCCACGTAATGCTCCAGGGAAACCAAAATTTCAAATAGAATCATTTTAAAGAAGGACTTCGACGGAAAGTGCATGAATTCTTCTTTAGACAAGAATTTCCAACATTGGATAAAGTTCTTGTCTCAGTTTGAGATGATAAGGATTACCCAGAAATGAGTCGAAGTACGTTATGGAAACTTTTAAAAGAAATAGGCTTCCGCTGGAAAAAGAATCTCAGAAAGTCTATTTTATTAGAAAGAAGCGATATTGTCATATGGAGAAGATATTTTCTAAGAACCATAAAGGAAATGAGAAACCAAAAAAGAAAAATATTTTATCTTGATGAAACATGGATCAACGAGGGTCATACACCAAATAAATTTTGGCAGGATGAAACTGTTACAAGTCAAAGGCACGATTTTGTAAATAACTTATCTACTGGTTTAAACCCACCATCAGGAAAGGGACGCAGGCTGATAATAGTACACATTGGCAGTTCAGACGGTTTTGTTGAAGGTGGTTTATTAACTTTTGAATCAACTCGTACCGGTGACTACTGGTTCTAACTAATGGTTCGAACAAATGATAGATCTTCTTCCGAAGAACTGTGTAATAGTAATGGATAATGCAAGTTATCACTCCAGACTTATAAAAGGACTGCCCACAACCAAGTGGTTAAAAAAAGACTTGCAGAATTGGCTGAGTTCAAAAAATATTACATACCATCCCTGATCTATAAGAAAGGAACTTTATTCGTTGTGTGTCCTTCATAAAGAAAAATTTAAAAAAATACGAAATTGATGAAATTGCCAAAAATCGTGGAATGACAGTACTTAGATCCCCACCATATCATTGTGAATTAAACCCGATTGAACTGGTATGGGCACTGATAAAGAGTGAAGTTTCAAGAAAAAATACCACTTTTAAAATTCATGATGTTAAACAGTTGTTTTTGGAGGCCGTAAATAATGTAAAACCTGAAAACTGGGAAAAGGTAGTAAATCACACTATTAAAGAAGAGGAAAAAATGTGGAAGCTGGACAATATTACTGATAAAATGATCGAGCCAGTTATTATAAATCTTGGTGCTGAAAGTTCATCTTCTGAATCTGATTGGGATTTGTAACAAGTAGCTGTAAGTTTTATATTAATATTTTTATTCATCTATTTAACATACTTTAGACGGTTTTAAAAACTCTTTTTTTTTGTAATTTTTAAAAATTAAAAAAAAATGTGAATTTTTTAAAACCCTTTTTAATGTAGGCCAGTCAGTTCTAATATAGTGTGTGATAAAAGAGGTCACTTTTGTTTACATACACATAACACTTTATAACACTGAAATAATTCATTTATTTTTTACAATTATTCAAAGTAATTTTTCAATTAATCTTGAGCAAGCCCATGGAGTGGTCGGAAGTACCAGTTAAAATTATGCTAATTACTCTCTCGTTCATAAAAATAAACTATAACTGTTGGACACTTTCGAGCGGCAAAAATGTATGTTCCCTTAATGTGAAATCATATACCATCATTCTCCTTCTGTTGTTTTGACTAATTTTTTTAATACTTTTAAACTGTTTGTCCTTGGTTAGTGTAGTGTTACGTACAATTTTATGTTTAATTTTATGTTTATGACATTCTGCGATTGTTGGATAGCCAAAAATTGACCAAGTGCTCCTGATGATGCTTTAGAAAGCGAAAGTACTTGGGCAAGATTTAATTAATAAACTGTGCTCGATATCTGCCTTTGATTTTATCACAGTTCATATAACATCGATCTCGTGTCATGATATTATTACTATTAATCATGATTGTCATTTAATTCAAAGGTTTTATACCTAGTTTCGTGGCTGATTCCAACTTTTTTTAAATGTTTTACAAACGATGATCCGACAACCGAAAACGTTTTGTGGTAATCCTTTAATACAACAAGAGTCTATATTGGTTGTATTGTGGAGAGTCTATTATACAACCACTGGGATTTTCCTCTTTTACTTGGTTTACTTTGTATTTTATTTTTTTCTTTCGCAGAATTTTTAGTTTTTTTATTGACGCTGGTAAAATTAAAGTATTTGCTTCGTTTCGTAGTTACAGCAATAGTTGACTTAGCTACTAATTCAGCTGTTGATTCATCTGTTGTGACTTTACTTTGCTATGTAAAGAAATTTCGACATAATGTCAGGGCATTGAATAATTCAGCTAACACTGACACTCAACAGAATTAAATTTTTCTCAAAAATAAACTTCGAATCTTGATAGTAGTCTTTTGGTTTGTTTACTGACGAATACGTTTGATCAATTGAGAGGAGGATTGTATTTGTAACAATATGCTTCATGAAAACTCCAGAATCAATTAAGTTTTGTATCATTATTCGTGTTTAAAGCGTTATGGTAATTAACGTCCCAAAGTTTCATGCGGTTAACTTTAATAGCCCCAATTCAATAATATCAGGATTAATTATCCTGATATCTTTTCCAGCCTTACAAACACTTTTTGGTTTTCCAATATCGCTTCGATAGTGCGGCTCTCATTTTTAGTCTTGTTTAAAATAATGCATTTAATAATTGAAAACTTAAAGTTCCAAGAAGCAGTGACTTTTAACACGCTATAGGCTTCTTCTTTCCAATTAGCAACTACAAAATCTCTTCCCATACGAATTACTTTGCCAACTCTCACTCTAACCTTCACGCTGGTGTCCCCTATTAACCGAGCAACCCAGCTGGAGATCCGGTATCCAACACGGGTGGAAAGTTTGGTCGGGAACTGACGAGAGTGGGTGAAATGGCCCTCCGAAAAGGGGGTTTGGCGTTGGGTTAACTACCCAACCCGGTAAAATCCCATAGTTACGAAATCGAAAGTCAAAAACGCCGGACGGAAATCTCGAAGACGACCTATGCAACGAAATAAGGACCTGAATAATGAAAATAATAATCTTAATGTATTTACCTGGAACGTTCGCGCACTTAACGAACCTGGAAACATCCGCACACTGTGTGACATATTAGCACAATATAATGCTGATATTACTCCAATACAAGAAGTACGATGGACAGGCCATAGCATAATCCAAAAAGCAAACTACAATATATATATATACATATATATATATATATATATATATATATATATATATATATATATATATATATTATAGTCAATAATTATAACAGGTTATAGATTTTAAGCCGATAAATTCGCGAATGAGCTGCTTAATTGTCAGGGGCAAGTTTTTTAGTATTAGCCTTATTAATGTACATGCACCAACATGAGGTTGATGATGTTGATGAGGTTGATCAACTGCTTAATATTCCCAATACTGACCTACGGATGTGAATCTTGGACTCTGAGACAATCGGAGAGAAGAAAGATAGACGCCACTGAAATGTTCTGTTGGAGACGAATGTTATGAATTCCTTGGACCGACCGCAGAACAAATAATTCAATTTTAAGAGAGCTAAAAGTTAGCCAACGACTCTCTAGTAAAGTCCATCTCCAACAATTAAAATATTTTGGGCATGTTATGGGAGCAAACACAGAAAACATGGAAAGACTCATAATACAAGGAAAGGTAGAAGGCCGAAGATCACGAGGAAGATCCCCAACAAGATGGATAGATCAAATTACAGAAATATGCCAAAGACCTATGCATGAATTAAAAGAAATGACCAGAGACAGAGATCTCTGGAGACGGACAATACACGACATCACGTCGACCACTACACTCCCCCTGGGGGGTCAGGATTGAAGAGAGAGCCCCAACGTAGGACAAGGAAGACGAAGAAAAAGACAATTTCTATGATGAATTAGAAAGAACATATAACAATTGTCCCAGAAATGACATTAAAATAGTAATTGGTGATCTGAACGCAAAAATCGGAAAGGAAGAAATATATCTACCGCACATTGGTAAATATAGTCTCCATAATAATACTAGAATGGACACCGAGCAGTCACCTTCGCAGTCTCAAAGACATGATCGTAGAAAGCACATGTTTTCTACACAAAAAAATACATATAGGGTCTTGGACCTCGCCTGATGGATTAACGAACAACCAAATTGATCATTTGATCATAGATGCTAGACACTTCTCCAACCTTATGGATGTCCGCACCTATCAAGGCGCTAATATTGATTCAGATCATTTTCTAGTTGGCACAAGAATTCGGGCTAGAATTTCAAATGCGAAGAAGAAAAGAACAATGCATATAAACTGATGCAGCAAAGAAGAACCCGAGAAAAAGAACAAAAATATAAAGATCGCAGAAGAGAAGAGAAGTACATACATATATCGGAGAAAAAAGCAAACTTATGAAAATAGAATATTGGAAGAATTTGAGGCATTAAAAAAGGAAAATCAAACAAGAAAGTTCTATAAAAATCTAAATAATGCAAGATAAGAATTTAAACCAACGATCGGACTATGAAAGGATAAGGAGGGGCATATACTCAATACAAAAGAAGAAGTATTGAAAAGGTGGATGGAACACTATAAAGAACTACTAACTATCGAAGTAGAAGATCCAAGTCAACCACCCCCAGGAGCAAGCAACAATACACCATTGAAGCCTACATTAATTCAAGAAGTGCGGGATGCAATAAAACACCTAAAAATAATTAATCTCCAGGAAGTACACCCGCGGAACTTATTAAATGTGGACATACCAAATATTTTCGAGTATTTTATATGGTCGCCTGAGTGCATATTCAGAGGAGCTACTTGGCAAATATCAAAGTGGTTTTAGGCCTGGTCGATCAAACAATAGACCAAATCTTTGTGCTAAGCAAATACTTAAAAAAACCAATGAATCCAATATCGACACATACCATCGTAGGTTTTCAATCAGCCTGTAATAGTGTCCTAAGAAATAAATTGTATGAAGCCATGGATGAATTCGACATACCCGATAAACAGATAAGATTGGTTAAGGCTACAATGCGTAAAGTTGTTTGCAAAGTCGAAATACAGGGCAAACAATCACAGGCATTTGAAACGCATAGTGGTGCGACAAGGAGATGCGCTGGCATGTCTCCTTTTCAACATATCTCTGAACAATGCGGTCAGAGATACCCAAATATACAACAGAAGAAACATTTTTAATAAATCATCCCAAATTTTGGCATATGCAGATGATGTTGACTCGCACAACACGCAAGCTAGAAGAAATGTATACCATCTTGTCAAATGCCTCAAAAATATGGGCCTGCAAATAAATGAGGAGAAAACTCGATGAAATAAAGCGGAACTTACCCCACTGGATCCTTTATGAAGCTCATTTTCGGTCCATATATACATGAAAATGTTTTGTTTGGTTTGCTTCTATCCTCTATCATTATATTTCTTCCTATGTTTTCGCTTCTCTTCATGTCCATCCGACTTTTCAATGATATTCGTCGAAGTATTTTCATCTTTGTTGTTTCTAGTAGTCTTCTAGTATAGATTTTTGTTTTTGTGTCTTATCTTCCAGATGTTCAGTGTTTGTTCTTCCAGGTTGTGTTATTTAGAGATCCCGCAGCTTTACTTACTTTTAAGCTTTGTTGTCGTATTTCTTTTTTAACATAATTCCCAGATTTCGAAACCTTGCTTCCTGATTTATTATTTTTCCATCAGTTTCGATTTTACATCGTAGTGGGTATTTAGATGCTGTCATACATTTGGTGTTTTCTGCTGATGTTATCATATTGTATTTCTTTGCTTTTGTATTGATGCAATTTCGTCAAAGGCTGAAGCATGTAAGAGGCATGTAATACGCTGTGATCGGTCAAAACGGAGATTGCCTGTGTAGCCATTTGCGGACCGATAGACATTGCTGTTTTTGCTACTAACCCTATTTTTTTACGTTAAATATGCACAAGATATTGATGGTTTTACTACACAATATTTTGTGAAGTTGTAAAGATAAACACAAAAAAATAGATGGCAGCAATAACTCAATAGGGGGAAAATATAGAGATTACTGGTTTTGCTTCTATATCCCTCAATTGAAATGATTCTCCATCGACTCCATTTAAGTACCCGTTAATGTAAAATGAACGTTATTAATAATTAAGTTTTCTCAATTGTGTTATTTTTTAATTTGTTTTTACATTCCTGGAAATAAGTTCTAATATTCATTTAAATATAAATTTCTAAAACCTATAGTCGTCGATAAATTGTCGCTTTAGCAGATTAGTTACTGCAATTCGTATTATATCTAGTTAATTAGAACATTTTTTAGTTCCAGGTAAAACTTGCGAACAAGGTGGACTAACTTACGAAAACGGTGACAAGGTCGAGAACGGTTGCGATTCTATTTGTACATGTACGGATGGTTCAATGAAATGTACTGACAGATGTAAAACACCTTTCTTTAGGAAAGGAAAGAAAATCGACGATCCTCATTGTTTCGCCAAATCAGTGGACGATGTATGCTGTTCTATTTTAGTATGTTCTGACGATGCGGATAATTTAGGTAATTATTTGTTAAATAATTGCAAACGTATGAATGATATTGTGATAATCACATGTCTATTAAAAGAATTGCATATTAATAATCATCTAAGAAAAAAATGAGTGAGTGAAAAATTAATTAATGCCCAAAAACTCTAAGTAATATTGTAGATAAACCCAGCACCAAACAACCAAAACAAGTAAAAATGTATAAAAGAAAAATTCAACATTTTTCAGTGGTCAAAGCGGCAAATAAAATCAGGAAAACTAGGTGGCCATTCAAATAACACTATTCTACATTTGCATCTATATTTCTTGAAGATAATTCTGCACATCATTCCTGAAATCAGGGGGTACTATTTTATTAAAAGCAGATGGTATCAGACATCGTGATAGTCTTCATTAGCGAATGCTAAGGCTTAGCATTAGACGTTAAGTTCAATACTCCTAAAGGTCTGTTCTAAAGTATTGTGCAGTGTACCAAGGTTTTTACTGACCAATGGCTTAGGGCGGATGAGTTGGTGAGTGGTAGAGCATTCTGTCCTTTCTTCTGTCCTGGGGTTGAGAAATCGGTCTCAAAGGCGGAACAAATAATGGCCAATGGCATAAGAATTCAGAAGGTAAAGGGGAACCACTGCATTAACGGCTCATAGAGCACCCCCAGGAAAATCACCATAGAATTATATATATATATATATATATATATATATATATATATATATATATATTTTATATATATATATATATATATATATATATATATATATAAATACATTGTGGGGTATAAAACTTAAAGTAAATTCTAACTTCCGGTCATCTCAAAACCGGAAGTAAATTTTTGTACCAAAAGTATATCTTGACAATCTCATATGTAATACTAATAATATTCCGAAAAAATATTTTAATTATCTAATATGGTTTTTGAGTAAAGTGGTGGACAAGAAAAGGGCTTAGCGCTTTTGTATATAAGATTAAAGGTCATAAAATATGAAATTATTATTATTATAATATTATTGTGATTTAAACCTTATTTAACGCAAAAAAATATTGTTTAATAAATATATTAAATGGTTTTTCTACCAAACCTACCATAAAAGTCTGAAGGGGCTAAACTGGCTGTGTCAGTTATTATCGTGTTCTCGGAAATTTGACGATTCTTTATTTCAACTTCCTATCGGATGGACAAAATTATGTTTATGTACGTTTGTAGAATGTCCTTTGTTATAGCGTTTTTTTTTTACTTGAAAGTTGAAAACAGACTGTTCACTCATAACCTTAAGTTATGAGAAAATATCCTTAAGTTTGGCTTTTTTATAAACCAATATGTTTTATTTCATGTCATTTAATAAACTTATACAAATTAAACAGCTTTTTTCCTATTTTAGAAGAGGAGCCCTTGGAGTTTTGTTCCTATAAAAATAAAACGCTTAACAGAGGTGATATTTACAAAGAAGAATGTAGTGAGATATGCAAATGCGAAGCTGGAGGAAAAATGTCTTGTAAACCTAGGTGAGTAAGTAGTATATAAGCAATGTGACTAGGCTAATACCAGACACGTGTATTGCAGTAAATAGACGTGAATATAGCTGCAGTTTTAATGACGTCCATCCAAAGGAGTATAATATACAGCTGGTGTTTTATTTTTCAAATACTAAAAATAGTATGATTATAATATACAAAATCCTCTTGTAATTCCTTTATTTTTCGGTTTTATTAATATCGTGACTCTGTATTTATTGATTGTTATATTTGAACTAATGGTATATAGCTAATCTAATATATCTAATATGGATCATGTCTATTAACCTTGCCATTTTTTGTAGATGTCCTCCAGCTACAAAGACTAAGGACAGATGTGTGGAAGTACCAAATCCAGCTGACCCATGTTGTAAAAAAGTTCTTTGTGACGTAACTTTAGAAGAAAATGAATCGGACAAGGATGACGAGAGAAATAGAAAAGTTTTATCTGCTAGATTTGTAAACTCAACAACTATATTAATAAAATTAGACCCAAAAATTGAAGTTTCAGAAAATACTTTAGTAGTGGAAATCAGTGACGATAAAGTGTATTGGCAAAAACACAAAGTATCTGCTGGAGGATATGTTACCGCTAAGAATACTGCAAAGTATTTGAAATTAGAAAATTCTGAGGATATTATAAACGTACAAAACTTTGAGGGTAATCCAAAAGAAACAAAGAAAGATAAAGACAAGCCTAGTGGTAAAGGCTGTCAATATAAAGACAAATTCTTTAATATTGGTGAAGAATTCAATGATAACTGTACATCACTTTGCGTTTGTCAAGATGGTGGAATGAAGTGTTTAAAACTACAATGTCCTACCTACTTTGGTGTTGACGTTCTCGATCCCAATTGTGTAGAATGGGAAACAATACCACCTAATTTTATTGCTTCTCCTCCCCACTGCTGTCCTTCAAGTATCCGGTGTAAAAATAACGGTTCTTGTGATTATGAAGGAGTCACCTACAAAAATTGGGAACAGTTACCGGAAAATGTTACAGGATGTGAGAAACGATGCTATTGTGAAATGGGAAAAATTGAATGCCAAAACACTTGTCCGCCAATTGAAGCTCATCCGCCTCCGAATTTACCATGCCCTCCACATATGGCGAAACCAGGTCATTTACCTGATGATGATTGTTGCAAGGTATGGATATGCGGAGATGATCAAGATCACGGTAAGTCAGAAATAAATATTTAAATTTTTTAGCTTACTAGATATACTATTATGGGAATATTTAATTTAAGGCTCATCTACTATTGATTTGAAATCGATCTTTAATGTGTTTCGGTGATCTACATTTATAAAAACAGAAAATCCTTATTGTGCTTCGTTTATGAACCCCTTCTATCCAGGATTATCTACAGTTTTACATCATATACATCAACACATGACCACAGGCACCCATCATCTGAATTTCCTAGTACTTGTCAATGATGAAAACATCCTCAATAAAGGGCAATAAAATTAGACCATTCTTAAGACGCTATTCGACATTTACTCCTCTTAAGCGACCAGCTTTTACTTTACTTTACTTTACCTATTTTGTGTTTTCTTTTCATTTCTGCAATTTAGAGCATTTTTTTAATTAATACACCTCTTTCAATACTATCTTTAAAAAGTGTTTATTTGAATTTATTTTCGGAAATATGCTTCTGCCATCTTAATAATATTTTCAGTACCTACGGTTAATAAAACCGAATTCTTCTACAATCTTTACACCGTAGAGAAAATGGTGAAACGAATATGATTATTATTAGAGTCGTCAAAAGTTTTTCTATACCCTTGTCATTATTTCGGTTTAATATAAATAAAATATCCACATAATATTGTAATTAGTTTATGGTGAAACGAATATGATTATTATTAGAGTCGTCAAAAGTTTTTCTATACCCTTGTCATTATTTCGGTTTAATATAAATAAAATATCCACATAATATTGTAATTAGTTTATGTAAAATTGTACAAAAATCTATAAATATTAATATACGAGAAAATATTTTCCTCTTGATTAAAGTTTCTTTCTCTGCGAATAGAATGAATATTAGAATATTATTTTATCTGCCGTGGAAGAACAACAAAAAGAAAGGATGTAACCGATCAACTGGCTGTGTTTCGTTCGCTGTCCCAATAAAAAGTGTGTTGAGATGGTCAGAAAAACCCTCTGACTATTCTTATTCTTAGGTGGTCTATGGGACAAGTGCTCCCCTATAAATCAGCGCTATTGTATGGCGCTTTTTAATGGCAATAATCTAACCTAATGGTTACTGAAATATGATACTTTACAACGGTTTGTGTGTACTGGCGATAAAATTTACAAAAATAACACATAAAAGAAGTCAAATTGTCTGAACTTAAAAACAGACATGTGTTTAAGCCAGTTTAACAATTATATTTTACTTTTAGTAAATTAACTTAAAAATTTATTTAAGTAAATAATTAGTTAAATTGACCAATAAATAAGACCATATTATAGTACAGTAAAGCAAAAATATGAAAATAAAGACTAAATATTTTGCCAAACAGTTGTTGAAAGCCATCTTCATGATAATTATGATTTGTACAGAACGAGATTATATAGAACAATATTTAACATACTTGTAAAGCTCTTATATCTATGATTTTCTGATTGAAATCAGTTCTATACACTAATATATTAATCTCTAAAATAAGCAATTTTTTAATTGGTGAAATATGTTAAATTTAATTATATTTTCTCGTATAATTAACATTTTTTTAAATAGTTATTGTATATAGGTATTGCTTATTTATAATAATACTCATTTCTAACAATGTATGAAAAAATGCTTTGTAAAATGTGTATATACTTATGGATGTGGAACAACATTAATTATTGATATTTCTAAAATGCAAAAAGGTAATAAATTAAATTGGTTGCATTAACCGATTCTTTCAAAGTTTCCTTACGGTAAAAGTGGTAATGTATCATCTGATTTGTAACAAAAATTATCTACTAACGTCTTAAAAAAAACTATTGTAAAATATTTTTTGTCGCATTATTCATGAAAGAATAAGAAGTCATCGCGAAAGAGACCTAGATGAAACCCGGTTTGGATTTAAGAATACGCTTTCATAAATGCGACAACTGTAGAACCAGCTCCCTTATCTCACATGCCAGCAAAATAATGCTACACATAATCAATGAGACTCTGAAAGCATTCCCACAAATGTATTATGAAATGTGCCAAAAGCAAACTGGATTCAAGGGAGAAGATTTATTGGTCGAAGACAGAAGAATCTACGTAATTGGTGTCAATGCAGATCAATTGATTTGTTTAGAGCAGCAAGTTCAAAAACAAAAATAGCCTTTATGATTGCCAACCTCCGTAGGAAGACGATATGATACTGAAGAAGAAGATCAAAGAAAGGTATGAAGAGATTAGAGGTTGAAGACAAAGTAGATGGTAAAATAACCTGAGAAAGATAGTCAATAAAGAGTTTCACCGGTTACTTCCTGTCTGGGGCAGCCTACCACGTCCAGGCGAGGGAGAAGAGAGAGAAAAATGGATAGCAACCATACATCGAATACGATAACGTAACCACATCCTTACGAAGGATAAATCTATCCTGTCTCTAAGAGATTGGATTTCAAAATGCAAGATGCTGTATAAATAATAATAACTACCTTAAAGTATAATTGGGCAAGACGTGTAGTAAAAAGAGGCAATAATACATTGACTAAGGTAACTCTCGAATCGAGATTGTTGCTTTCTATACGATGATCTTTATGTAATATATGAGACCACCAAAAAGGGAGTATGAATATATACGTTCAATCTAGAACTTGCTGGTAACTCTCTTTCGCCTTGAGTATGTATATTATAAAAGACAAATAAGAAACAAAAAGACTATAGAAAACTTTATTTAAAACAAGTAAAATCAAACAGAGACAATATACACACATTTAATTGAAGTGAAGTTAAATGGAGATGTGAAAAAATCTTTCAAGAATCAATAGAGGATACTAAAACAGAAATTTGAATTAACGGTTAATATATTAATAACATAAGTAACGCGGACGGTACGGTAGTATTCGCTGACAGTTATGAAGCCCTGCAGGAAGCTGCAGGAGTTAATAAATAGAATTACAGAAGTCAGCGATATCACTAAATATTAAAAAAACAAAATGTATACGTATTTTGGTATAATCGTCAATGAAAATAGAGATCATTCCCTAGACATCAAATGCAGGATAGAGAAAGACAAGTCTGCATTTTAAAAGTCATGATTTATCAATACTCATAAAAATCAGGTTACGAAGATGTTATATATTTCCTATACTGTTGTGCGAAGTTAAGTCGTGGACTCTCACAGACATTGCCTGCAAGAAAGTTGAGGCTATCGAAATGTTACTTTATCGTAGAATGCTAAAGATATCTTATACCAACCACGTTACTAAGCAGGACGTTTTATTAAGCGTGCAAAAAGAGATAGAGCCATTAGTAAAAACGGCCAAAATCAAATACCAAGCTCACATCATGAGCGAAAGATATTGTAGCATGTTTAAATAAACTAGCGGTTCTAATTTATATATTTATTTATAAATTTACAGCACGATAATATCTTGTCAACTAAACTAACTAATATCAGCGCTGCTTATATAGACAAGTTATTATGTACTAGAATAATCTGGAATAGTCCACCTCTATTTCGCTTGCATTAGCGCCTCTGATCTGTCCTTCGGTCGATAGATCATGAACAGTCTGGAACATAGATCATCATCTCGAGATGCAACCGTTACATGGAGGCAATTTCGTTACAATATGGATTGCTGTAATTAATTTTACAGGAAACAATAGAAGGAAAACGAGGCGCAGGAAGGCGAAAGATTTCCTGGCTGAAAAATCTATGTACTAGATTCAACACAACAAATCTTTTCAGAGCAGCAGCGTGCAAACTTCAGATTGTCATGATGATCGCCAACATCCCAAACGGATAGGCACTACCATCGCCAAAATGGAATTGGGTAGGACACGTCGCCAGATTATCAGACAACCGATGGATAAAACGTATTTTAGAGTAGAGACCAAGACAAGAAGCAACACGGAGCAGATGACGCCCACCAACTAAATAGACTGACAACCAACACCCCAAACTGACAAGTTTATAGAAGAAAAAGAAAAAAGGGATATCGTATCATTATAGGAAAATTTACAAACCGAATTTATCTTCGCTCTTTTGTAATTATTTGTAAAATATTATTGTTATAACTGATAAAAGATTTAGGTTTTTGATTAATTCAAGATTTAAGTTTTTGTTAAAAACAAAAATTATGTTATAATGGCTTCGTGGTATTAGTTTGTGGACTGAGACTCTAACCGTACAATATACAAACTATCAAAAACAACAAATAAACAATCTAAGGCACCGGTGCAAGGTTTCAGAAAAATTTACATAAATAATTGTACATAATCATGGTTTTGGCAGGTGAAAGACTTTAAACACATCTTTATTAACGAAGAAAAGTATTATTTTAGTCAAAGAAAACAACAAAGTCAACAAAAATGTTTCAAAACCGCCGTTGTATGGACCGTTCTCTCCAAGCAAACCTTCTAAAACTCTAGGACCTCTTGCTGTTTACGAAAATGGGGATTCAAGTCAAGAAACTAACAGTGTTATGGGAACAGCAACCAAGCCAGTAGTCGCTATTGAAGAAAATCCATATTACCATAAGAAAAACGGAAGTAAAGTAGATAAATCTTCCGCTTCGACACCAAACAAATCGGATAAAACTAAAAATATAAAGACACCTCTCTTTGTTACACCTCCATCAACAATTTCTTCGGATATTTCAACAGTGAAATCTGTGGATAGTCCAATCCATTCTGAAATTGAAATACACGGTCATGGAAACGCTGAAGAACTACTGCAGTTTATTAACCAACATCCAGAACTAAGTAATTATCCATCAGGATCGGTTTTAGAAATTCACAGCGTTCCTACTTCTTCCAAACAAGAACCCAACTCCATATCAAATGGAGACAAATCACACATACATCTGGTACCATATGTCGTGCCGCAAAATTCGGCTGGGGAACACGTTCCCAATAATTTACCTCCCGGATTTTCATTGGAACAACTTTTGAACGAATTCCATAGAAATACTCTTCCAAACGGACAGGGTTCTTTGCCACCTCTTCCCAATATTAATAGACCATTTTTGGGTCCACAAAACATTCCTCTGCCTAATAGACCTAATATAACACACCCAGGTTAGTTTATTATTTATATAGACGGTACGTTATTGATTTGAAATCAGCAACCAAACATTGTAAATGGTGTTTAATCACATTTTTTTAGTTTATTTTTAAAGAAAGTTCCTCTTTATATTATTTCATTTATAGTACTTGATCATTTGTTTATATCAAGTTAATATCCTTTATATCAAGCAAACAAGACCTTTTAGAATTTTTTGTAATTTTCAAAATATTTTTGTTAAGTCACGCAGGAAGTACCTGTATCTTAATAGCTTTGCCCTATAACTCTTTAAAGGGAATTTAATGAGAGTTACATTTTAATTGACGTTAAAAACGACAGTTAATTATTTTAACTTTGTCTTAATTAGAAAGTTTACCTTATTTAAACATACTACTATTATTTTAGAGATAAAATTGGAAAGTGTCTTTTTCATGTGGTTATCATAAGGATTTTTTTCACTTCTTCCTCATCTTGATGTGCCTATCCGTTACGAATGTTGGCGATCATCATGACAATCTTCATCTTATCTGCAGATGTTGCTGCAGATATAGAAAAGCTGCACAGATGTTGTATTAAACCAGATTCTAAGGTTCTTTAACCAAGATGTTCTTTTTCTTCCTGGACCTCGTTTTCCAAATATTTTTCCTTGCAGGATGGCTTGAAGGAGAGCATATCTCGCACCATTTCGCATAATATGTCCGAAGAACTGTAACTTTCGAGATTTGATGGTACCTCTCGGTTCTTATTCATTCTTCTGAGGACCTTCTCATTTGTGACTCGGTCAGTCCATGGGATCTAAGCATTCTTTGATATAGCCACATCTCAAATGCTTTCAGTTTTCTGCACATATCTTCGTTCACGGTCCACAATTCAACATCATAAAAAAGGACAGAAAAGACTTAGCATCCCAACATTATTACTTTTGTATCAAGAGAGAGGTTGTGACTCTTGAAGAAGGCCCCCATCCGATTGAAGGTGGATCTAGCTTTTCTCATGCGTGCTCTAATCTCCTGGTTGTTGGTCCATTCTTCATTTATTATGGTGCCGAGGTAGTTGTAGTGCGTCACTCTTTCTACAGAAGATTGGTTGACGTAGAGTTGACCTTCTGTTATCCTTTTCTTGCTAATTATCATAAGCTTTGTCTTCTTAATGATTGTATTGAGTCCATATTGTTGACTGTAATACGTGATTTTGTTCATAAGAACTTCTAGGTCTTTTAACTTGTCCGCAAATACTATGGTGTCATCTGCATATCTGATGTTGTTTAGCCGGTATCCATTTAGTAGAATACTTGTTTCAGTTTCGTGCAAAGCTTCGATAAATATTCTTTCAGAATACAGATTGAAGATTAGAGGAGACAAAATACAGCCTTGCCTTACTCCACGCATGATTTTTACATAGTCGGTGTGTTTACCTTCAGGGATTTGATGTCTGTTACATTGGCGCCCCACGTTGGGCGCCAATGTAACAAAATTGTTGAGTTTAGGGAAATGTAACAAAATGGCTTCCTTCTAAAATAACAGCTTCTTCGTAAAAAAAAATAAAATAAACTTAAACCAGATTCATGAAAATGGCACCTCGAGCCGCACTACTTGATCACAAACGACCTTCACTCGACCAGATCCAGCGACAAAGTGCTCCTCTGACGGTGCTACGGCTGTCAAGACGATGTACTTTCAGAATCTTCCGCAGAGAGCGGGATTTAATGCCAACTTTCGAAAATAAAATTTACTGGAGTTTTAAATATTTGGTTTAAGAATATTTCAAAAATGAATTTAATTTATAATTAAATTAAAGGATTCCAGTGACAAAACGGTAAATGGCTCTTTAAGTAACGGACTCGTTACACTTCCAGTAAAGATTTCTAATTATTTTCAGATCTTGCTTATGAATTCCTGTTTCTTTTAGTATTTGCATCGTCTTGGCGTGCTGTACTCGATCAAACGCTTTCTTGTAATCAACAAGACATGCGTATACGTCGCAGTTGACATCTCCATATCACTGGAGTATGACTTGCATATTGAATAAGACTTCTTCACTTCAGTTGGTGTTATTGAGTTTTCTTGTATAGGTAAAAATGTCTCTGATTGGGAAGACTTTGAAGGAGATGTGTCTCTGACGGAAGGATATTTTTTAATGCGTGTTATGATACTGTTAATAGTTTAGGTAAAAAAGAGTATAATGCTAAGCAGAAGCGTCAATTTTGTAAATGTTGTATATGACCAAATTGAGTCTAACTAGCACCTGATTAGATTAAATTGTGATTACACTTGGTCTTTGTTATAGTTATCTTCTCTCATGCGAAATTTCACTAGCACTATTTTAATACTTTAAGGTGACAATTCTTCTTGACAAGATTTATACGAAAATCATGAATTATTATTTATGAATATTTTTATTGTTAAGTTGCATGTTTACAATATACTCTACACACAGAGTAATAAGTAAATAGTCTGTAAGTAAATTAACGTGAGTTAGGTACCGTCCAGTGACGATTATCTAAGTATGATTGTAGTAGGTCTTCTGGCCATACTCTCTTCAATCTTCTTTCGGCAAGTGGTTGGATGAATACATTTTTATTTGATGTGATTTGGTGATTTTTATATCTTATTGAGTGATTATTATGTCCTTAAGTAATGGGATGTATAGATCATTGTGCAGTGTTTGGTTAGATACATACCATGGAGCTCTACTTATTATATGGAGTATTTTAGATTAGAATGTTGAAGTATCTTCGTATTTGAAGGTTTACTACAGCCCCATAGTTCTATCCCATGTGCCCAAAACTAATATGAGTATAGCTTTGTGCAGAAGCAGTTTATTTTCAAGAGATAACTGAGACCTTTTATTAAATAGCCAGTTCATGGGACATGAAGGACGTTGTCCATGTAAGTTTTTCAACCAGATGCAATCCCAAGTATTTGACAACTGGTTTTATAGAAATGGGAGTATTATTAATGTAAACTTTTTTACTGTAAAAGTAATTTGTAATGATTTGCTGGTATTAACATCTTCCATCGCTAAAGCCAGTTTTGTAATTGGTCTATATGATTTTGCACTTTTTGTGATGCTACATTAGGGTCGATATCCACTGCTAAGATCCCTGCGTCATCGGCAAAAGTAGCTAAGAAGCTAAGAAGGTATCATTGCTAGTTGGAACGTCAGCTATAAATATCAGATACAGAAGTGGACCCAAAACGCTACCCTGAGGAACGCCAAATTGTATGATGAAATAGTTTAAGTAGCTGTCTTCAATGTTCAAATAATTCTCCTGTTATCAAATCATAGCCAGGAGCTTTCTTAGGATATAGCATTTTTATTTGTTGTCGAAACTCTGTCGGAGTAAATGTTGTCAGAGGAAGAGATAGTTGACATAGAGGTTGGAGATGCATTCTTATATTATCATCTTCATCGTTACTAGTATCTGGTACTGCGAATACAGTTGCAAGGTGTTCTGCGAATACTGTTGTTTTTTCTGCGTTTGTTCTGGCCCAAGTCATATCTGTTTTTCTTAAAGGTGAATTTGTTATTGTAGGTCATATTGGATGATTTTGTGTTAAAAAACTCTAACGTTTTGTCTACGTAGTAGTACCTGTTTTTATTTATTATTATTTTGTTCACTAATATCTAGGTATTCTTCTGATTGGATCTATTATGATTTATTATATCTATGCCATGTTACTGTGTATTATCTTACTCTGTAAAATTCACTGAGAACATGTAGCACCTAAGTAAGCGAATTTTGGATTTTAAGGTCAACTACTTGATTCAATCATACCCTTTATACAAGAACAGAAGACAAAATGTTCGAAAACTAAAAGTATTAAGAATCTACATGTTGCTGATTTCACGATCAATATAAATAAAGTGAATAAATGAGATTTATACTAATATTTAGTATAAAATGAGTCAATTTAAGCTTTAATACTAATCGTTGTCTTAATTTATAGGAATAAGCAACATATTCCCAGGTCCATTTAATGGTTACAATCAACCGGACGACGATATTCTGGTACATACACTGGAGGCAATTGATCCACGAACTGTTAGATTGGCCTTTATGGTGCCTCCAGTGATAGTTAATTTGCATGGAAGAGTTGAAGTTAGATATACAAACAACAAAAAGTAAGTACTCACTAATAGTTCTTTACAAGCACACATATTTTTGTGTACAAATAATTCATATATACAAAAATTTTTATGACTCTCTTTTTACTTTTATATTGGTGGTTTAGGTGGTGGTTTAATAACAGGTCATACTTTATAGCTTCTTTTTTCCAAGTTTATAAACATTTTACGAAGTTCTGTTCTTCAACGTGTGAGAAATACTAAAATCATCTGCGAAACCTATATAAGTTTTCCGTCATGGCCAGTGAAGACCTCAGCAACGAGATACAGTAAGTTTGTCATCTTCAGACAATTCATCCATATCCAAGATCGCAATAATATCCTGAAGGGATTTATAATCTTGCAAAATCTTCTGTACATCAAGAGCAATTTCGTAATATTTAGCTCCAATAATATTGGGGTCCATGAGACGTGAGCTAGAATCCAAAGGATCTACAGCGGGGTAGATACCCAATTCAGCAATAGCACGGGACAATACAGTGGTAGCGTCCAAGTGAGCGAAAGTGGTGACTGGAGCAGGATCTGTCAAGTCATCAGTAGGTAACAGACTCACTAAAACGCAAGATTAAATTAAAACACAGTTGTAGGGAAAATTATTCGTTGCAAAACTCTCTATAATGTTGATTTGACATCTGCACATTTATGCATGGACATTTATTGCAAAATGACCAGAAAAAAGATAAGGTCAAAAAGAAAATTTATTCAAAAAATTTTTAGTTATTTTTTTGTTTATAACTTTTTTATTTTTCATTTGACAATTAAAAGTAATAAAATTAAAGTTGTAGAAAATTTAGTTTGCTACAAATAATGACTAATAAAATTTTCTTTAGGGTTGCTAACTTACAAGATACAGATTGAAAACCCTTTCCTCCATTTTTCCAAGATGGCCGCCGGGAGACAAGAGTGACGACCCTTTAAACTTGAACTTAAGCTTATACTTACTCTCCCAATATATAAAAAAATAAAATTAAGTCCTCTTAGAAATGCAGGCTAAAGCATACAAAATGTAACATTTCAATGGACTATATTGTCTTTTTAAACATCTTTTATAAGTATAACTAATAATAAATTACCCTGGTAGGAATTGACTACTTGTATACTTTCTAGTTTCACTAAATATTTTATACATTTCACTTCGAATAATACGTAATATATTCAGTCTATCATTATTTAATGAAGTCATTTGCAACCTAAGCTCCGTTATAAATTTTTTTAGTAAATATATATTTATTCGATTTTTCTCTTTTCAGAGATTCAGACTTAGATTCTTGGATGCTGCAAGTCTTCGCTCCTCCGAATGACTTAATTGCAACACCTTCACTAGAATTCGACTTGCAAGATCTAAAACCAAACACAGAATACAAAATAAAGATAACAATAACCTTACGAGACATCCACACTACACATAGCAGCAGAATTTATAAGATTAAGACACCAAGAGAAATAGTAGCAACCACATTGCCTCCTATGATCCCGATTGAACCAGAATTGGCTATTACCGATATTAATTCAACATGGGTAACGGTAGTTTGGAAGAAATTCGATGAAAATGAATTGCGATTTATCGATGGTGTTCAATTAAGATTTAGGGAAATCGATGGCAAAATATACGCGGCAACACCGCTGATACATCGAGCTGTAACTAGCTACACTTTGGAAAAACTAAAACCGAATACAAAATATGAAATCGGAATCTTCTTTATCCCATTCCCGGGTCAACTTACCGAACTCCATGCAGAGCATATGTTGCATTTTACAACAGCTAATGAAGTAGATACGTATGGTTTTAATGTTACTTTAGAAATTGCGTTAATTAAGTCTCAAAATGTTGAGCTATCCTGGAGTGGAGTGCCTTACCCTGAAGATAAATACGTCAACATCTACAGGGCCATTTACCAAAGTGATTCTGGAAAAGAAGATCAAAGTATATTTAAAATAGCTAAGAGGGATTCGCCGACGAAAACCATAGTCTCGGATTTGAAGCCTGGTACCAGATACAGATTGTGGTTGGAGGTTTACCTGACTAATGGAAAAATTAAGACTAGTAACGTACAAGATTTTATCACAAAGCCCAGAACTGCACCGTCGTTGGGGGCATCAACACAACAAGGTAATAAAGTCTCTCGTGTCATTTTATATATACTCAGTGACATTAGAAGTGTTACACCCAGAAGGAATAATTTCTTGAACTTAATTTTTTGGCAACAGAATGACTATATTTAAAACATGCTATAATAACAATACCAATGTTTTATTTTTTTTTAAATTTTGTAAAAATATCAATGTTTTATCTTTAAATTTTTTTGTGAAAACCGGTTCGTATAGAAATTTTTAGTTATTATTCCTCAGTCTAATTGTATTCGGGGTAAGAAAATGCCTAGAGTTCGAAGACATCAAACACCATGTTAGCGATTTTGACAGGGGTAGAATTATTGCGTATAGAGGTATGGGTTTGTTATATCGCGAAATTGGCCATAGTGTTAATGGTAAGGCGATGACAGTTATGCGTGTCTGTCGTGCGTGGACAAACGAAGGCAGAGAACCATGAAGAAGACCAACTGGTCAACTGAGGCGTACCACAGAGAGTCAAGATAGGCGCTTTAGTCGAGACGTCCTTTTTCAGTAAGACAATGCGCGTCCCCATATTTCTCATCGAACTATGGACTTCCTCCAAGAAGCTGACGTTATTGTTTTGCTGTGGCCGCCCCGTACTCCAGATTTAAATCCTATCGAATATATATGGGATATATTGAGAAATAGACTGTTCACTTTACACCATCCTCCAAAGACTCTGGCACAGTTAATACATGAAGTTCAAGTCGCTTAGAATTTATTATTTGTAAATAAAAATTTCTGAGAACCTAATCGTTTCAGTCTTGATTTAAACCTACTATGATGCCAAAAAATGAAGTTCAAGAAATCCCTTCTGGTTGTAACACTTCTAATGTTACTGAGTATATTTTATCTTGCACAGACTAACAAATAAAATAAAATTATTAAAATCTAATGTGTTCTTTTCCAGATAAACTTTCCAGAGCGGAGCATCTGGAACCCAAAGGAGACTATTATGGTCCTCTAGTCATTGTAGCAATATTAGCAGCGATTGCCATATTGAGTACGTTGGTACTATTACTGATTCTGATTCGACGACATAACCAAAACAAAGCTGCCATCACACCACCATCTCGAATTAATCAGTCTGCTTATGACAATCCTTCATATAAGGTTGAAATACAACAGGAAACAATGGGTAAAGGTTTTATTTATTAATAGTAAAATTATTGAGTTTAGTATTTATCCAGTAATAATTTTTCTCTAGATTAGACTTAATATTTCAAAGAATAGTTTGGCCCTGTAGACATTTGACATTTCCACACCACAACCGGAAGTTAGTTTGTATATACCGTACATCTTTGCTCAGTTCAGCCGATAAGAACTTCTAAGAAAGGGTCGATGATACGTTTGTTAACTAGTATGCATTTTCTTGGTATCATTTTGCTTATTTTACAAAACACCTTAATTACCTGAGTTCAGTTTTCTTGAAGTTCGAAGAATATTTTTGGATTAGGTTAGGTTAGGTTTGGGTCGCGAGCAGAAGGGTATAATAACTTTGTTGCTTCTCTTTGACCTGGACTGTTTTTTCAGTAGGCTACATTAAGCTCTTCTCATTCCGTACTTTTACCTCTATGAAAAATTTTGCTAGGGGAGACATGCCGAGTACCGGACAGAGTGTGTTTCCAATAATGTTCACTGATAGCACGGGTATGTAATCTAGCGGTAAATTTAATATATAATACCCCTACTCACTGCTGATGAATATAATGCTTTTTGATCAGAGACGTCGATACATGATTTCACATTATTATGCTGCACGATTGTGGAAGATTTTCTCACCACAACCCTTTTTGTTGGTACTTCCACTATTTCAGGCACAGGCTCCATAGTGAGAAACATGACATCTGTTTTGTCTTTCCATTTTCCAATTATGACTTTACTGTTGCTCTCTCTCATGACTAATTCACTTTTTACTTTCGGATTATGCTTCCTGTTTTTTCTCAGTGTGCCTATTAAATGTGCATGAATTCTAACTCTTGTCCGTCACTGTTAATTTCTAAATTAGAGGAAGAAGAACACGAATCTTGATCATTTGGATCATCTATCGCATCATCATCATCTTCACTAATGAAGTCATACTCCATTTCACTCAAATTCTCCTCTATTTCAAGTACTCCAGCATGACTTAATTTTTTATTTGCCATTTTACTAATTTTAGAAACATAAACACACAAGAGTAATGTTGTACAAACTAATACAGTAATTCACGAATCCCATCTACTAAATGAGTCTCAAATCGCTTCGCCAGAATTTAGCCGTAAACTGTACGAGCCTAGATGCGCATATAAAAGCACCAGAACTGTGTTCACCAAGCGTATACACAGCTTGAAACATTACCACTTCATATGACCAAATTTGGTACACGCAATTTCTGGTAAACATCAACTGTGTACCAGAAATGGTGTACGCAGTAGCAAGTGTTAAAATAGTAATTATAAGTTCAAAATCTTGTTTTACAGACACCTCATTTTGGATATGGAGTTAGACTAAAAGAACTTTCTAAAATGATTATCCTTACATATTATATATGTAGGGAAAAAAAGGTATCCCTTTTTCGAACAGGTAATTCTGTATATCTGGTGTGTACGAATTTTTAAATCAACTGTGGGAATTGAAAAATCGATATAAAATTGATATAAAATCGGCTATATTTGCTAACAATAAATATGTAATAGAGGCCCTTTTAAAATTTATTTATTGTTATTTATTATTGTTTTAAAAATTATTACTGCTCATTATATTACAATATAATGAGCAGTAATATTATATTTATAAAATATTTGCTCAAATATTATATTTATAAAGTACTATTGTTTGTTTTAGGTTTATGAGGATAAGGAGAAAACTACAAATGTACATATTTTAGTATATATATTTAAATTGTTAATGTGTGTATTATTAAGAACTTACATGTATTGTACTTGTAGAAAGAAGATATAGTATTAACTTGTAATATAGTATGAATAAATTATATATTTATTTACGTTTGTAAATATTTGTACTTTTTCATTTTTTTATTCGTTTTTCCATGTTTCAACAGACCTAAACTAACAAATCAGCAGCAATTCTTCTTATTAATGTTCCGTGGATTTCTGCACCCTGCGATATAGATGCCACTGGAGATATTACTCGAAATAACATCTTGGATCTTTTATTTTAGTTACAAAATACAATATCTTGTATCTAGCCGCATCTACCGTTGCAATGGTAGACAAATCTGCTTCGACATCATTCTTCCATCTTTTCATGGTACGTCCGAATGATCTTCTACAATCCTTCTTTTTTTTTCCTCAGCTTTTTCCTTTTCAGTGGTCGCTGTGCTTTCATCGTGTCTCTATTATTTAAACATTTCTTTCTCTAAAGTCCTCTGCCACACAATCCTTCTATCTTTTCTTCGGTTTTTCTTTACCTCACTCTCTCTTAACTTTTAACAGCTCCATTCTTTGACCCTCCTTTGTTGGGTATTTAACACAATTTTTATCTTCTGACTTCCAATCTTGGTTGGTCGATTCTTTTCCTAAAAGTTTGACTATCTCATGCTTCTTAAAAGGGTCTGAATGATACTCTTCAAGCTGCACAATTGTATCTCTTTTCTTTACACTTCGTTCTATGCCAACAAAAATTCTATCATTAGGCATATATGAGTGACCCGTTACAGGAAACACAAGCTACACTACTGTTACTGAAGTTTTAATCCTGTGCAGCCAAGCAATGCACATCGTTAATACAATACTATTCCTGTTTTGGCCTGGACAACCATCAGCTACCAGCCTTAAGGTGTCTTTTCCTTCAAAGTAACCAAATTTAGATCTGCACTTAAGTTCTTCAAATACTGCAGAAGCTATTTCATTTTCAAGTCAAAACTTTTTCATTTCATGTTCGGTTCAAGAGTAAATTGATACATTTTCTTTGCGTAAAGCTTCGGTTCCAGTAGAACATCCAGTAGAACTATCGTTAGGTTATAGCAGTATAACTGTCTTGAATAGTACACACTCTGATCTGGAACCTTTGGCAGAGGTATATTTTTTTCCATGCCGTACTACATTATAGCAACATTAGGTTCATCTTTTTCAAAAGGTAAAAAAACCCCTTAGCACGAGTAGTGTGAACAGTGTACTCTGCTTTAAGCGTTTGCAATATTGCCTCATTTTTTCAACCTTAATTTTTTCTTTGTACTGAAGACAGGTTAAACACACATCTGTCGAAGGCCTTTTAAAGCTAATGTTGAACCTAGTTACGAATATGTGTAGAAAAAAATGACTCTTTAACTTTAAAATCATCAACAACTGATTCTTCGTACATCTTCCACATATTAGAAGTAGACAAGGTGGAATCAAGATAAATACGAGTACTCCTCGCTCTATTGTAATGTGATTCTGTGCCTTAAAACTACTTTACACAATTCATTACAGAATCAATTTTTTTCTGATATGTGTTAGCCTTCCTATAACCACCTCGAGTTTCAACGGGGATGAGACATCCGTATTCTTTAAATCTTGTGAAAATACCTTTAACTCTGTGTTTTGTGATTCCCAATATAATAATAAACGTATTCCTACATATCTATAATATATTTCCTGCTGTTGTTTCAATACAATATTGGTAGGTTATGCCTTTAGTATGTCTTGATCCGTCTTCCAGTCTGGTTCTTTTTGGTTGTTCTGCTGTGCAATATTTAAGAATAAAAGCATCTTGGCAGGTTTTTGTCTTTTCAGAATAAAATGCACTATGAAACCTATTTATATCTTGCATATTCATTTAACTGCAATTTTTCTTTCTCCTGTGGCCACATGGAGGAGCATCAGGTATGCTCATAATAGAAATTGGTCCATTTTTACTCTAATAACCTGGCCTAGCCCTAAGTAATAGTAACTTTGAATGAATGTTATTTAAATTTGTCTATTAGTTTATTCAATGTTAGGTTACGGTTCAATACTAACCTTAAAATCTTCTGTTTGGCTCTTTTCCAATTTGAAGGATTTGGTAGTTTTTTATTCCTTTTCGCAGTGTACTTTGGAAACCAAGTACTTTATGTGAAATCCATGTGGCAGCCAACGTGTTAAAAAAGTAATATCCCAATTGCATAAAAAGGTAAATTTTTGAAAAGTGTTCCAGTTATGACGTACTCCTATCCTCGTTAAATGCTGAACCAGAGATATGTAAGAGAGGTTTTGAAAACAGACGATTTGAAAAGAGTAAGAACAAACTGAATCCAAACAATTCGAAACATGACCGATTACAATTGGAAAATACATTTGAGGGAAGCATAATTCAATAGTAGACGCCATGGACGTTACGTCCATGGTAGACGCAATGAGCGACATAATAAGCGCGGATTATAATGATATTTGTTTATTTAATTAGGAGTGACAGTTTTGTCAAAAATATTTGCATTTAAATATTTTTTCTACTCTCTTACTAGTAAATTGTATATTACCTACTAATTGGATGCTAAGTAAATGCATCATAACAGATACTGACACGTAATGACTAGCACGTAATAAAAACAATTACGCTTCAGTTTTATAAAAAATGTGTAATATCACATAAACCTCGTAAGTCAGTTGGTCGAGTTACCATGGAAACGAATTAACAGACGTTATTTTGACGTTAATTAAGAAACGTTAATTAAAAATTATTAATCTGTCAGTGTAAATATAGTGGTAATTTTTTTTTAACAACGAAAATAATGGTAGAAAAAGTATAGTACACAACTTGAGTTGTAAGCTTATTACATGCTTGTAAAATTACTGCGCTCGCCGCTACGCGGCTCGCTTTTTTACTTGCATGTAATAAGCTTCTTACAACTCTCGTTATGTAATATACTATTAACGAAAATGTTATTGTATTATTTGTCATTAAAAATGAAATTACTCCAAAATAAATAACTGCCAATGTGATTCGTCCCAATCAAAACCAGTCAACACCCAAGACTGAGTCAAAATAAAATAACAGGTTTTTTACTCTTCTTATCAGTAGAACTAGTTTTAAGTTCTTACATTTTTATTGGTGAATCAATAATTTTGGGTAGGAATGTCTGTTACTAGTCACACCACTAACGAATAGCTGTTTAATGTATTGTTTTTTGTAGGTATGTGATTAAAGCAGAAATATTATTCGATAAAACGGCAAACCAATGAAAAAGAAACGTTCCTTTAAGAGGCGTAACTTCATTAAACTTATAGAAAATATATAGAAACGATTTTATTACTTAAGATGAAGTGCTACAAAAGCTGTAATTTAATTTTTTTTATTATGAAAATCATTATATGCGAAGTATGAAACACATATGTAGATTCAGATTTTACAATGGCGTATATCCCGTAAACAGGTTTAAATTATTAAATCTGATAGAGACCCCAAATTGTTCATGTGGAATAAATATGAGTACCTACTTAGCAGTAGTTAGAGTTTTATTTAATTAATGCTTTAACTAGAACTGGCAACACGGCGGTATAAAGTAATATTGGAGAGTAGTGTTTTTTCATAATGGAGCTTAATATTCATTCGCTAAACCCATTTTGTCGTTTTGTGAGGAATCAGTAGGATTGAATAAAGATATTCCAAATTATTAATATGGAACTGAATTATTAAAATAAAAATTTGCTTTTGATCTCTTCTCTGATATTTCAAACACGTTTTTTTTTTAGATTAGCTTCAATTAATTTTGTTTAAGAATAATCTCAATATATGTCAAAATTCTAGCAGCTTCTTCGTTAAATGATTCTTCGCGTTTTTTCCTATTTAACAAAATGAGAGTTGGAGCTGCTGTAGTTGTAGTAGTTGTGGACATCATGTATTTAGTTTTTAATGCTTGTACCAGTTTCTAAAACAAAGATTTTGATAAGTATAAAATATTATAACTGGTGGCAATTTAGCACATTATAATTCAACAATTTAAAACAAAATCTTCTATTTAAACATTCTAAATTAGATATAAGTGCCATATTAATAATAATAATAATAGCGTTTATTGTCCAACAGAATCCATTTATAGGACAAAATACAATACTAAAGTTAAATGAAATATTAATAATTCATAGGTACTAACTAAATAACACATTTTTCGAGTATTTAACATAAAGAAACTACTTAATCACCTAGGTAGATCTCAGCCATCCTAGTAAGCTGCTTTAAACTGCAGTGAAATATATCGCAGTAAGCACTTAAGGAGTTATAATAGTTGCACATGAGAAATAGAGGAGAATTTAACATAAGATTAGTTCTAGCTTGTGTATTTCTGAACGTAATCGAATTTCTCACTGGATAAGATGGAACGTTAAAATTTATTTGTCGAAGAATATCAGGGCAGTCAATGAGATTATGTAGTAGCTTGTACAGGAATATTAGGGAGGCATTAATTCGTCTAGATTCTAATGATACTACGTCCAAACCGCTACACAACTCGCTATTGCTGATGCCCCTCCTGGGATATATGCCGTTAATTTTGAAAGACAAAAATTTTAAAAATTTACGCTGCACATGCTCTATAATTTGGATGTGTACATCATAAAAAGGTGACCAAATGACAGAAGCATATTCCAGTTTACAGCGTACAAAAGTGTAATAAAGTAATTTAATTGCCTTAGTATTAGTGAGATTTCGACTATTTCTAATTATGAATCCATAAGATTTAAGTGCTTCTTTAACCTTTAAATTAACATGTTCAACAAAGGTGAGTTTATAATCAAATGTAACTCCAAGGTCTTTAATTTTATTCAATCGTTCAAGTTCATTGCCATCGATAATATAAGGATGGTATATATTAGACTGTTTCCTAGAATAACTAACTACTTTGCACTTATTGGCATTAAGATTCAAATGATTTGCATTACACCATTCATGTACACGATTCAGTTCACTCTGTAGAAAATGACAATCATTAAGGTCGCTTATCAATGAATAAATCTTTAAATCATCGGCATAACATAAACATGGTGCAGAAATTGATTCACACAGATCATTAATAAATAACAAGAACAATAATGGACC